TAGCTGGTCAGGCTGGAAAATGACCAGCTAAAACCAGCCTGACCCCTTTGGGTTAAGCTGGGCTTCCAGCCAGGCTAGGCTGATCAAGCTGGTTTTATCTGGTCATCTCCCAGCCTGACCAGCTAAGAACAGACTGGAAATGGCTGGAAACTAGCCTGGAATTTGCCAAAACCCCTCTAAAAGCAGCCTGGTTGACCAGCTAAAACCAGCCAACCAGCCTAGGCTGGTTTAAGCTGTTTTTTTTTTTTCAGTAAGGCCCTGGCTTTCCCCTCACTTTCAGTGACAAAACAGATGAATTTCTATTACTTATGAGCAAAAAAGAATCATATAGCCTATATTTAATTGTGTTTTGTCAAGTCACATCTGTTTAAATCAGGATGCTAATGCTCGAAGCAAGTTAGATTGACTTGCCTAACTTAACTCAAGGGTTTGTTCAACTTATTAATTTATACAACATTGATTGATACATTCCTTTGGGATTATTTTACACCAATCTAAGACTTTAAATACATGACTACCAGTTGCAGAGGTAATACATTGTCAAAACGTCACAGCAATTAGCTCACTACCTAACTGGCCATATTTTCAATTTAGTCAGTGACTATTTATGCTATGAAACAAAAACAAAAAGAGCTACAATACAATAAAAACACATAATAATACAATTGCATTTAGATAAATGAAAGAGAAATTTAAATTTAAACAACAAAAATCCCTGAAATTCTATGACCTGGAGTAAATTATTTCAAATTCATTGGCATTCAATGTCTAGGATAGGCTTTTCAAATTTGCACGATATTCCAGAAAAGTCCGTAACCAGTGGAAACCCAGAGGAATTACTTTAAAGGGGTTGTCCACAACGATATCATATTTTAAACTTTAGTTGATGTGTAGTGTAGCTGTGTGAACAACATCTCTGAATGACGCTCAAAGTTCAATGCAACAGGGAGACATTGGCTTTTACAGAGTTAGCTTAGCACAGCCTACAGAGAATGAAGTTTGGGTACTATAAAGAAATACATCTAGGCTAATGAGATCACAGACGCGTCAGGTTACACGCATACACCACTCGCATACACCCCGTGCTGCAAAAGTGGCATGGCCAGAGGCGCTGTAATGTTATAGCAGAAAAGGCTAAAATGCCATTTAAACACTTGCTATTTCACAAAGAGCTTCTTCTGTTTCTGTATTTGGACTTCCAAAGGACACGACTCAAAGAGAGAAGTGCTTACAATTAAATTTTAATTACGTTCCAGAGAATTCTAAAAAAATATATAGCTAGCATTTGACAAAGGACAGCTTCCAGAATCTCTCCTAGTTCAGTGCTGGATTCGGCTAAAAACTCCTCCAACCAACGAAGCTGTGTATTGTGAGCCGCAACCTGTAAGCGTTTTTATTTGGTAAAATCTATCAATTACATGCACAGTTTTTGTAAAATGAACGGTATGCTGTAGCAAGGATGTAAACACTGGGAAATGCTGTTTGGCACCGCTAACAATTTATCAGTCAAACCACTGTGAACACACACAATCTTCACCAGCGCTGCAGTGTCTCTGTGCAGCTTCTTTCATTGTCTCTCTATGCGGCCGCTTTCAGTGTCTCTCTATGCGCCGCTTTCCCTGCGTTCTACATCCCAAACAACAAACTGGCAAGAGATATGTTTCATATTACTTACACATGCTTATTTCGAACATATGTAAAACACACTTGTCAGTTTTTTACTTTAGTTCAGCTGTGTCTTCTTCAATTTCTGTCTGATCTAACAGCTACCCTAACTGACTGTTTCCACAGTGCAAAAGTGCCTGCTTGAAGGCATGTGATGCTTTTCCTGGTGACGTGGAGCCGATCTGCGAATCACAGCACATTATATTAGCTGACCAATCAGACCCACTTGAGGGCGGGCCTTTCAGATGAACTAGGAAATATGACAGTGGTTTTCATGTTAGCAGAGTAGCTCTAATTAAAGTACAATACATGAAAAAATAAAGCGTTTTTTTTTTTACAAATGAGGCATGAGCACACATTGCACTTTATAAACACAACCAAGCCTTAAAAATACACTTTGGATCACCCTTTTATTAAATAGTGAACAGCTTGTAGCTTCACAAGTTTTAGAGTAACTTCCCCAGCACTGAGCAAATGTATTCAAATGCTCAGCTTTAAACACCTCTTCAGAAGCTCAGGTGTGAAATTGAACCGACCTGCAACCTCAACAAAACCTGAAACTAAGATCAAGTCAAAGATATACTTAATCTGCTGGATGCACAAAGTCTCGAAAGGTCACGTATGCAACCTGTCAGATACTCTACAGTCTTCCCTCCAGAGCTGATCCATATCTCTCTCCGAAAATTATCAAAAGGAACGTTTTTAACCTCACTCAAGGAGGTCAGACAAACCGCATCCTTGTTTACAAAGAGCAAGTAGAAAGCAAGTATATAAAAGAACAGTTGATCCCATTAAAAAAGTAGCATATTAATCCAACAAACATGCAATAATATAATTAAATTAAAAAGACCTTAAAGGGATAGTTCACCTCAAAATTAAAGTTTTCCATTTACTTGGTTTCTAACCTTTATATATATATATATATATATATATATATATATATATATATATATATATATATATATATATATATATATATATATATATATATATATATATATATATATATATATATA